ATTATTTATTTAATTAAGTTATTTTTTTATAAAAATTCCTAAAGGTTAAAATAATTTAAACTTTATCTTTGTTTAGAAATTTATCGTACTTAAACTCTCGATATAAACTATTAAATGATGGCTTAACATATCTTCTATAACTAAATTAAGTTTGACATATTATATTAAATACGCTTTATCAAATTAGATTCTAATAGCAGTACATAAATTGTTTACTATAACAACTTGTTTATAACATCTATGCATTAAGGAATCACTTAGTACACGAGTAAAACAATTAGTTACAAACTAGTACATTAAATGATTACGAAAAAATAATCGTGTTAAATAATTTAGACTTCCATTTTTAAAAAATCTAATTTAATTTAAAGTATATTTATATACATGTATACAAGGCTAATGGTGTGTTTTGACTTCATGAGACTAGGCGAATTTGAATTAGGGGCCTCGCGTACAGTGTTGACATGAGACATTTTCCTTCGGGAATTTTTTGGAGAAAATATTTTTTATAAAGGATCGGTTTGGAGGCCCATGGTGGGGGCCCTAGGCTGTTGTCCTTTTTTGCCCATAGAATAACGTGCTACTGTTACAGGTCCGTCGAGAGGGAGAAATAGAGATTTTTTCCCGGGACCCGGAGGAAATTTAAGGGGCTTGTAACGGTTCCTACCTTTATAAATTAATATTATTTTTACTATAAAAGACTAAAATCTTACAGACTGCCATTTTGTAATAAAGAAGCATTCTACCTATTCAAAAAAGGCAGAAGCTTTCACTCTATCCCTCTATCCTTCGGGCCTATACAAGCTTTCGGCGACTTTCTATATAAACTATATATACGTATATATAGTATATACTGTATACATATATATATATATATATATATATATAGTATATAATTATAATACATCTTTCAGTAATGACAATGAGTATCTCGAAATTAAGATGCATCTCTTACTTTAAAAGTGTAAATAGCATATTTCACACATACGTCTGAATAATAACACGTTAAATATGTTATAACACAGTTTATTGTTTTGTTATTTTATTTATTTCATTACAATATATGTATATATATCGTAAGTGTAATTTATTATTTAATGTCTCAACTTGAAATAAAGGCAACAGAACAAAACAGAATGTTTATTGTTTATTGTCAAATAATATAGTTTAAAAATTTTACTCAAAGAAAAACCAGATTTATTTAAGATGGAGAGTAAAGAAAAAACTATAAAAACTTTAACAGCTATTAAAGCTATTTTAAAGCTTTTTTATAGCAGTAAAATGGTACACAAAAAGTTTATGCAAGAATGAACTTCACACTTCATTACTCACTAATTTAGTTTTTAGATATTAATTTTAATTTCGCATAATATAAAATCGGAAATAATGCAAATATTATTAATACAGTAATAATATTAATAAATTGCAATTTATTTTAATTTTAAGCGATTTCTGTATTAATCATTCCAATAACAAATTATAATGTATTAAGTAGTTAACTAAGGCCTGGATAGCTAGCACTAAAATATACAATGTAAAATGTGAAATAAAAGAACAGAAGTGTGCAATATTATACGCTAAAGTTAAATTATTTATTTTCATTAAAATTTCATAAATTTTACTAATACACAACACGATTTTTACATTGCCTGTAATCACTCACGTCCACCAACGTTTGGCAATTTGGTTTGGGAGGGAAAAGCAATCTGGAAGAAAGTTTTTTCTTTTTTTTAATTGTAGAACTTGAACAGGAACCTCAAAAATTCATTTTTAATGTTTGTTATTAGTAATTCTACACTTTAATATCGGTCCCATATGGTTTTATATAGGCCTACATGCTGCAGACCATTAGCTAGACAAGTAAGGTGTGAAAACTTCGCGTATAAGATTTATAAACCTTCTGCGCCCTTCATTACGTACGGAGCTAAACAAATAAAAGTACTTTCTCACGAAGAACATTTTGTGGACCAAGCAGGGTCATGCGCGTGAGGTTGGCAATCCCACCTTTTAAAATTCCTGGTTCAAAAATATCCAAAGCATAATTGAAAACTCGTGTATTCAATATTCAATAAAAGTTGAGTGTAGCTTCCTAAAATATTACATAACTACATTAGAGGCACTCTTTCATATAGGAGTATGCTTCTCGAACAGTTTTTGCCCCTCTACATTCACTTTGATCTTATTGATGTAAAATTAATTTAAAATTTATTACCACTTTATAAAGTAAAAATATACACCTCCTACTCACAATTTCTTAAGAAGTTCTTATTTAACATCACATTCATGAAAAGGAAAGAGTAAAAAATACAGAAGCATTGTGAGGTAATAAAACCTTTGCTGTGCACGGTCCCATTGAATTCGTAGCTTCGTCGATTGTTATCTAGATATACAGTAGTTGTTCTGCATTTCTTTACGTAGTTTTGAAGAGTTGAAGAAGGCAGATTCCTGCTGCAATGTACTGTACCTACTGTACATTCATCTGGAATGATTTTTGAGTATATTTCTTCAAAATGTTTTTAAACACTGAGTTCTTCATTCTGCAAAGATAAATTCTGTTGATATCAATGCCAAGAATAAACCTGAATTATGGTCTTACCTTTTTACTCATTTCTTGTGTTGATATCAAAGTTTATTTTATTTAATTTTAACATTTTGGCTGTGGACGCTAGTACCTGTAGAGAAGGACCGAATATTATGCGTCATTCTCGTTATTTTTTAGAATAAATTTCGTGCTGTGCAATTTGATAAACTGAAATTTAATCGATCGGCCGAACTAAACTTTATTTTCGTACACTTAACCACGTGTCTTATTCGAAATAGTAAAGTCAAGTGTTATAGTCGGGAAGTGTATGCCACTAAACTCGATAGGGCGAGAGCGTGCTTCACGTCGTTACATAGTTTTTATAAGAGTAACATGATTTGAGAAAAAGGAATTCATTTTCTAATCAGTATTTTCTACGTGGTCTCAGTTAATATACAGAAAAGAAATCTAGATACGAGTTGCTTAACTTTCCCGGCAACANAAGTAATTTGTTTTTCCAAATTACTTAATATAATTTCCAAATAAACACACAGAAGAGATGAATAAATTTATAAAAATCTTAAAAACAATGCACTGTATAGATATAAGTTACATATATATAGTCAAACCTGCGATAACGGCCACCTCCTAACAAAGACCACCACCTTTTAAGAACGTTTCGTTTTGAAATTCATAGAAAAATAACCTCCGAACGGCTATATTTTATGTCCACATAAGTGGCCTTTATTAAGAGGTTTGATTATGTATAAAGTATATACGCATGTAATTTGAAATTTTTATATTATTCTAATTAATAATTAATATTATTAGATTGTATATGTGTTTAGAAATATGCAAAAGTTTCAACGTCCATTAACGTTTTCTGTAAATAATGATGGATAAAATATATGTTGCATTTTCTTATTCGTTTTTCTATGGAGGAAACATTAAAAAGTTTAGTAAAGTGGAATCACTAAGAGCGTTAGATGTTCCAACATATGACAAAAAGCATTAGTCTTCTAGTGACCAAAAAGAATAATGGAATCTAACTGGCTCTTACAAAACCAGTAGAAATTGAATCAAGATTTCTGTTTCCTTAGGATTATCTATAATTTTATAAAAATTGATCCGTTGTATGCTTAATTTTTTTATGTTTTTATGCAATAAATATTAGTAATTTAACTATTATTTTTTTCATTATTCATTTAAAACTTAATTAAAATGGTAATTTTTAATTAAGTTTTGAATTTTATGGCTTTTTGGGGGAAGTAATTGCAGCATTAATGTGACAGAAATAAATATGAAAAAATTAGTAATATTTAAGTGAAATGTTATTGTATTTATTATTATTGCAATTTAAAAAGAAGTAAAAGTAATAATATTAAATTATTATGTTTTTATTTAAGAAATTTATATTTTTATAATATTTTTATGTAAATATTAAGTTGATAAATGTTTGTATTATTAAAGTAATTTTATTAAATATTTGTTTTTATAATTGTATTTTTAAAATAAATAACCAAAGCTCTTAAAATTTTTTAATATTTAAAACAACATTCAGATAAAATTATTTATTTAATTAAGTTATTTTTTTATAAAAATTCCTAAAGGTTAAAATAATTTAAACTTTATCTTTGTTTAGAAATTTATCGTACTTAAACTCTCGATATAAACTATTAAATGATGGCTTAACATATCTTCTATAACTAAATTAAGTTTGACATATTATATTAAATACGCTTTATCAAATTAGATTCTAATAGCAGTACATAAATTGTTTACTATAACAACTTGTTTATAACATCTATGCATTAAGGAATCACTTAGTACACGAGTAAAACAATTAGTTACAAACTAGTACATTAAATGATTACGAAAAAATAATCGTGTTAAATAATTTAGACTTCCATTTTTAAAAAATCTAATTTAATTTAAAGTATATTTATATACATGTATACAAGGCTAATGGTGTGTTTTGACTTCATGAGACTAGGCGAATTTGAATTAGGGGCCTCGCGTACAGTGTTGACATGAGACATTTTCCTTCGGGAATTTTTTGGAGAAAATATTTTTTATAAAGGATCGGTTTGGAGGCCCATGGTGGGGGCCCTAGGCTGTTGTCCTTTTTTGCCCATAGAATAACGTGCTACTGTTACAGGTCCGTCGAGAGGGAGAAATAGAGATTTTTTCCCGGGACCCGGAGGAAATTTAAGGGGCTTGTAACGGTTCCTACCTTTATAAATTAATATTATTTTTACTATAAAAGACTAAAATCTTACAGACTGCCATTTTGTAATAAAGAAGCATTCTACCTATTCAAAAAAGGCAGAAGCTTTCACTCTATCCCTCTATCCTTCGGGCCTATACAAGCTTTCGGCGACTTTCTATATAAACTATATATACGTATATATAGTATATACTGTATACATATATATATATATATATATATATATAGTATATGTAATTTAAAAAATTTTTACAGAGATATCAGCGACCCAAATGACTGTGGAAAACATGTTAAATTTTCATTTGTGTAAGTATTTATGTAGAATTTAAAATCAGAGTTTTGTATCTTGAATCAGTAAATTTTTCTTAGTTTGTAGATAGAATGATAATTTATATACAAAAATAAAACTGCTAAAATTTAAATTAGTCTAATATTTCTCTGAATAAGACTTCTCCATTTATAAGATAAGTAGTTATCTAACAAAACTCATATTATAAATATACTGCAGTAACTTTATAATGCTTTGCAGTTATTTCGGAATGTAACACAAATGTTTTCAGTCCACCTTAGGACCTTCTTCAGGTGGAGTTCTAGAAAAAATTCTTTCTGGTGTGATTAGTGTTCCATTTAGTTCTAATGTGTTCTAATTTCAAATGCTTCTGTTTTTGTAAATTTCTAAAAATTGCATCTGCGTTGGCTGTTATAATGCCATGTCATACATAGTTTGCCATGCCTTTGAGAGTTGTTTTTCATCCGTAAAGTTGATTGAAAGACCCTGGCAGTCTGATTTAAAAATCTCTAATGCTTCCAAATTCTTAAGTTGGTTTATATGATGGTTTGCCGGATTGTGCCGCTTGCTGTAGTTTGGGTGTAATGATGTTTTCACTGGCATATATAGCTAAAGTGATAGTGTTTTTCTTCTTTTCAATATCCCATTTGGAGTTTAGTTCACAGAGGCATTATTTAAGCAACCTTCCTGTAGATCCAATATATACAAGGTCTCTATTTGTTATCTTTGAGTGGAATTTTATACACTCCTGGTGTTCTTTTGATGTCTGCCCAATCCTTCTAATTCCTTAGCATGTCGAATGTATCTGGCTTACATCTGTAGGCTATTTTTCATTAGTATAAGACCCAGTTTCTCGATATAGGGAGTGCATAAGGCATTCATACTTTATAGCAATACGGTAGGGAGATATATCCTGCCAGACTATTTTTCAGAGCTCTATTCAATTGATCTTTGAGTTGGTTTTTTTGCTTGTCTGCCATTCTATATACTAAGCTTTTATTATAGCCATATTAATATCTTTTGCTATTAATATAAAATTGCGACAGTATAGTACTTTAAATGTTTGTATTGTATAAATATATAATGTTTAAAAGATTTGCTCACACTTCAGTTCTAAAGAAAGATGGTTAGTTTGAGTTGCCAACTCAATTATTTTATTTTAGAGTTTAAAGTGTAGCTAGGAAAGATATAATAAATAGTATATATATTCAAAATGTTCATGTTATAATGGTTTACAATCTAATCTACTCTTATCATTTTATTCAATTCACAATCAGATTTAATAATTTATGACAAAACTTTATATTTTACCATTAATTAAATTAAAAAGCATAAAGTTTTAAAAATATGTTAAGTGTTTTTTCATATATTATATGAATGAATCATCCTTATAATGGTTATAATGGTATTTTCTATAATTCATGAGAAGATGCATAAATAGCTGAAAATGTCCAATATTTTATTTTTACTTGAAAAAGATGCTTAAATAAGTTGAAAACATTTATTAAACTGATGTCTTGCTTTGAGTGACAATGTACTATTGTTATTTTTTGAATAAAATAAATAAAAGGCTTCCAGACTATAAATTCCCACTGGTGTCTGTCTGTATATTCTTTCATACTCTTGAGAATGGAGTTATATGAAAGTTGAGACCAGCTATGGAAATCTTACAGGTAGGAGGTCCAATTAACTATATACAAACTTCTGGCTTAGACTTCCAGTCTAAACCAGAAGTTTGTATAATTCAAAAATTTTCTCCTGAACAGAGTTAGATAGATGACTGGCATGTTTCATTCATCAGCCTTTTAAAATTTTCTTTTAAAATGCTGTATACATAAATGTTTCCAAAAGTGATTATTATTCACTTTTTTTTAATATATAGTCATATACAGTCGACCACCCCTATAACACAGGTTCCTATAGTTCAGATTCCTATATCACAGCGAAAAAATTTCGACAGTATTCGTACAAACATGCTAAAAAAACTCGTATGATTCAGTAAAGCATCATCGCCGACTCGTGTCGCGACAGGATTGGTCAAATCTAGACCAATAGCGGATATTGTACAAACCATTGAGTTTAAACAAACAGTGGATGTACTAAAAACCATTTATTATTTAATGTCCATAAAAACTTTATTTATTTGAATGATGTCTCCAAAGTTCAGTGAATTTTTCGCAAAAAAAATAATTTATCAAAAGCACGCGAGTGCCATTTGATAACAAGCTCCATGACGAAAACAAGCTTAAGCAATGGCGTAGTCGAACGGTGCACACTCAGTAAGTAATCTTACAATTTTTTGTTTATAGCATAGTTAATATGGATTATTCCCAAAGATTATACGTATTTTGGAAATATTGAATCAAATTAGTCTAGAATCGATTAATTTTATGGAAGAAACCTTTCAAACAGCCATAGTCCTTAAACTGCATACGTGCCGGGCTGTGATTGTCTGGACTTGTAGAAAATGGATTCATAAAAACTGGAATGTATCTACCGTGTTATAGGGGGGTCGACTGTATTTAAATTAATGTATAAATATATATTATTTTATTAATATTATTTATTTTGATTTATGTGTTAAATATAAATTTATAATCATAGTTGGATGCCTGTGAGTGCTGTTACTGATCTTCAGACAAATTACAGCTCTTATTTATTAGCAGAATCAGTTTTGAAAAGTGGTTGGAAGATTTTTGCAAATTTTAATAGGTGATGAAAATATTTGTTCTGTTATAATAATTAAATTAATTAGTTGTATTAATTATTTTTTAAATTACAATTTTTGAGTTATTAAATCAAGAACTTTTATTAAAATGAATTATTCATTATATTTGTTTATTTAAATTATGTAGTGTGCTTGAACAATTAAATTCATATGATCATTGGGGAGAAAGTATTGGAACAGTGATTATCGACAATGATCCTGAACAGGAAGTGTATTTGTGGGGAATTAGAAGGCGAAGCAGGAGTGAGTCTGAATAATTTACTTATAAAAAATTTATGCAAATTTGTAAAATTAACTTTTTCTGTCAGATTTTGTAAACTTNCTAGAGCAGGGGTCGGCAACCTTTTGAGTCGGAAGAGCCAAAAATTACAATTTACAAAATTTCAAAGTTTTTAAAGAGCCACAAAATTTTTTCTTGCCGACAATAAATAGTACTCGCATAAATAAAGTTTTTGATAAAAAAACTAATCTATTTATTCAGAATTGTCTTGCGTCGAAAGCGAATTAAACCTCATAGAAACATCCGACGACGGCGTCATTCGAGTGCTTCCGACGGACTGACGACAGTGACGACGCGTGTCACGGGGGAAGGGTGCGATGAAAGCGAGTACAAGTGGCTGAGAGATAGAATCGGTGCTGAATCCTCGTTAATCGATTCAGAACGATTTTTAAATGTTTTTTTTATTTTGATAAAATAAATAATATTTGCGTATGGAACTAAAGAGCCACAGCTTCACATCCAAAGTGCCGCATGTGGCTCGCGAGCCGCAGGTTGCCGACCCCTGGCCTAGGGGAATGCCTTCCGGGAGGTCTTTTTAAGGGTAACTGGCCTTACAGATGTGGAGAAAACATGGAAAACTCCATGTGGCCAGCTTGTCCTGGCGAGGCATGAACTTGCAACCAAACTTCCAGTGTTCAGGGAATGGAACCGCTTGGCCTAGACAGATTGAGTGTCAGAAGTGTGATAGCTGAATGACCAAGACAGTTAAGGCATCAGCTTTACTGCTCTGGGGACCCTGGATTGAATCCAGATGGGCAAATTTTTTCATGTGTGATCTGTCTGGATATGTTGGGCCTTCATCATCTAATAATCCAATTATGGCCTGGTTAACCCTTGATAGATATGGAAAAAGGCTTTAGTGATTACAAAGCATTAAGAGCCAAAAATGAAAAAAAAATTTTAAATATGTAAAAATTCCCATTGGAGACATATATCCAGGAATCTGTATGTTGTAACATACAGAAGTACAAAAACATTCAGCTATTTTGTTTTATGCCATGTGTTAATAAGCCATTAGATTTCATGTAAAATCAGGGCTATGGAGTTGGAACATAAATGGCTTTTGAATGACTCTGACTCCTTTATTTATACCAGTTTATGCAATCAGAAAAATTCTGAAATAAATATCTATTACAGAATGGGCTAGCACTTCAAGTAATGGCTAAGAACTTCTTGAAAGAATGAATTTCAGCATGTAGCTACATTTTACATACATACATAAACATGTTTTTTCCTGCAAAAGAGATCATCCAATATAGACATAAGCAATGAAATAAATTAAAAATTGTAGTACTTGTGTTATAAATTATTTATATTGTAACTGAAGAATCTTTTGGTAAGAAAAAAAACGAAGTAATTATTTTATGTTTAACTCTAAACTTTTTGCTAAATTTTTTTATTTCTAAAATGAATTGTTTAAATGTACAGTACCTACTTATTTAAACTCCTTTGAAACACCCTTTAAATACTGCATTATTAAACTTTTTTCCATTGAAAGTAAATATTTTTTAAAATGCATAAATCCTAAAAATATTTGTAAACAGAAATAGGAAACCTAAACTATAAATGCTATAGAAAAGCTGATAATTTTTTTAATTTTATGAACTTTGTGATAAAAGCTTTCTTATTCAGATAGCGGGAGAGTAAGGAAAAAGAATGTATATAACTAACCATATTGTATTCGTGCAAAATAGCTTCATTAGTAGTTTTAAAATTTTATTCATGTTGTAATGAAGTTATATATAGCTATTAATATAAGGCATTACCTTTTCTTGGTGTTTTTATGCAGACTGTAGAATGTTTGTTTGGTAAATAACTATATCGACTAATAAATATTAACATTTTGTAGTTTTGTCTATTTCCTAAATTTTTATGAAGCTTATGATAGTTATTGTCATATAAAATGTGTGATAATTTTTTTGTACTGTTAAATATAGTAATATAGTAAATATAGTATATAAAAACCTATGTAGGTTTTATTACTGATAAATACAAATATTATTGAGAGTTAGGTTTGGAATTAAATCTACCTATAATTAATTCAATGGAGGCATTAAATGATGCATACAGTAATTATCTATCATTGTTAATATTACATATACGAGGTATAATATGTAATTCTATTAAAATATGAATTTTAATAAAGATATCTATATTTATAAAATTAAAATTAAAGACAATTGGATTGGTTATTCAATAAGTTAAAATAATAATTCTAAAAAATATATTTTCAGAAATATATTTTTTAGAATTATTATTTTAACTTATATCTATATTTCTCCAATAGTCATTTAACTATTTTTTATTATATTTGACTTTTGATTAAACAAATTTAGAGACTGCATCATAATTTTGGTTTGTAATTTTCAAATTGCAGACCTATAGATTCCCAGTGTCATCTGTCTGTCCATTTGTCCATCATTAATCTTGAAAACAGAGTTAGATAATTGAATATCTAGACCAGATAGTTTTCCATATCTGGAAACACAGAAGTTTGTATATAGTTAATTGAGCTGGAGGCCCTGATTATATACAAACTTCTGGTCTGGACCAGAAATCATGTGATTTTTTAAAATTAAAATATGATAAAAAATTGCAGCTTAGCATAGGACAATGCCACAATAAGTAATTGCTCATTCTCATTATATTCTAAATCTACATATCTCTTATGGTAAGTGATTCCTTAAATGAAGATTTTCAACTTAGTTTCAAAAATCTCTTGAGAGATCATCAGATTTATCTGTAATTGATAACTTGCAAAGTGTTTATTTTTAACAGTAAATTTCTTTTATTTTTTATTGTATTTATTCTAGACTTTTTCCTCCTTTATTTTCTTACAGATATAATTGGATTCACTCTTTTCGTCCTAATTACGTATTTCTTCTGTTCCTGATTACAACAATCTGTTGGACAGTTACGAAAGCAGAAGAAGACAATATAAAATCAACGATCGATAGAGACAAGAGAGCACCTCAATTATATAGCTTCGGACTGGGCAAGAAATCGTACAATATTCCTCTCGATTCCGATAACATTGACGAAGATGAAATGGTAATGGCCGAAAATGGTAATGACTTGAAACGAGACGAACATCGTTACGCATTGGAATTAGGTAAGAGATACGATCAACGTTTCGCTTTTGGACTGGGTAAACGTGATCCTTCAGGAAGATACAGTTTTGGACTTGGTAAAAGGGAACCAAACCGCTTTGCATTCGGTCTTGGCAAAAGATCAATGGATGGTGACATGGAAGATTACATGAAGAGAAGATTCTCCTTTGGTCTGGGCAAAAGAGCTGATGATACTTTCAATGCTGATATTGATAAGAGACCAGATCAAAGATTCTCCTTTGGTCTTGGCAAGAGAGCAGACCCTAGATTTGCATTTGGTCTTGGCAAAAGACCCGATCAGAGATTTTCTTTTGGTCTCGGAAGACGAAAAAGATCGACTCAAGAATCGAATTATTCCTCCGAAGAGGAGTATAAGGAATAATTTCAATCATATTTTCTTTCTCATTTATGTTTAACAAAAGGACTGAAAATAATATAAAGGAAAAAAAATATATTCCAGATATAAAATACAAATCACGGTTACGTTATAATGAATTTAATTATTTCAAAATATTTAAAAAATATATTACCATACGTATATGTAAAAATTAAAAATTATACTGTTTGACAAATATATTTATCTTTTATTTAGGAAAATTGATAATAAAACATGAATTAAACGTTTCGCTTTGTTTTATTATAAATATATTTAAATATAATTTAATTATAAATACTCATGGTTTGAATTCGTATATTCTTCTTCTCTGCATGTTGTGACATAAATAAACATTTGTATCCGTAAGTATATCGAATTTTATGTATATTAAAATAGTAAAGAATTTCCTGTGGATGAAAACTGTACTTTAAAAAGCAATAATGAATCCTGTCAGTTTGATTTCCTATTGTGTATTTTAATGGATTATATTTAATGTTATACATTAAGACATTAGATTATCTCCTCGTAAATAAAATTTTCAACGTACAGTTTTAACATTATTTTATAAATTAAAGAAAGAATTTTCACTTCAAATATCAAGGTTAAATTCCAAAAAATTGATATTATTCAGTTCATTAATATTGTATCTATTTATTAAAATAATTTCACTGAAAAGATATTTTATGATTTATTTTATTTATCGAATTAATTCCGTTTCTACTAAATTTCCAGAAGTAAATTTAAGAAGATAGCTTTATTAAATTCTTTCTCCCTCTCTTATGGCCAAATGTTCTGTTGAACTAACTTAAGGAACGATGTATATAATGCGATTTCGTATATAACCTTTCCTAAAGAAATCATCAAAGTATACAATTGGCTTTATGGAGCTGAATGGACATTTTAAATTCTTTAACTTACTTAAAAAGAAACAGAATATTTCCTTAACACTTTAGACTAAGTAGAAGATAACAAAAAGATGCTGGAAAGAGGTAAATCTAATACTTCTCAACCAGTGATTCGCGACTCCCTGCTTGATTTCTACTTACGTTTAGAAGAATTTCACTTTACCTTTCAATATAACGTAAAGGAAATTGTCAATAAAACTAGAAAATAATGAAGGAGAATTTAAATTTTATATTAATAATAATTAAGAATATAAATTCTAAAGTAATTTCTGAAACATTCGTTTAACTTTAAGTGATTTTAAAGTAGAAATTTATAAAAGGCGTGGAATAAAGATAAAACTTCTTATATAATTTTTGATTTAAAATCCTCTAAAAATTATATAATTAAATATATAAAATTATTAATACAAAGTATACATAACAATATAAGCTTACACCAGAGAAATATATTTTTTACAAGTTTTATAAAATGTATAATTTAATTTCGAAAAAAAAGTTTCTATTCAAACTAAAGGAAAAAATATCATTTGCTATTTTTCTTGTGAGGACATTTTAAAGTTTTGTGTTTGTCACGTATCCACTATATTATGTCAAACATTTGATAAATGAATTCAATCGTGAAACAATTTTCTACTTTCAAAGTACATACAATATATTTTTAGTTAAATTCTTCAGCATTCAACTTACTGACTTTGAGTTATTTCCTTCCAATGGAGGAAATCTGTATAAAAAATAAACTTACAGAATAATAAAAAAAGCAATTCTGCATCATTTATTTCTGTCCTAAATTAGTAATTCAAATATTTATAAACATCAATTTTTTTAAATATTTTATCTATGTCACCGAAGTCTTCATTCCCTGATCAATATAGAATTAAGTTAAATCAGGACTTCCGTGTTCAGATAAAGAAAACACCAAGATAAAAATATCCTATCACTAAATCTAACACTTAAATCTTTTCTTAACAACTATTAAAGAGGATTTATATCTTATTCCTTAATTCTTTGTTAAAGAAGGTAGTTAAAAAAGAATTCATAGCTTTGTTTGTTATATATAAAGACGATTTTGTTTTGCTTATTTTCACTACTTTTTCAATTAAAAAAGGAGTAAATCTTACAATTAATTCGATATTTCTTTATATAAAATTATAATTCTTTCAACGAGTGTCATTAAGCAATTTACCGCAATTATACGGTAACACGCTGAAATTTTTAATATTTAAAGATAAGTTATTTAAAACTGAATAAAAGTCTTCATACAAATACAATATCATTCATTTCTCTATACATAATTATTACAGTTAAATCTCAAATAACGGATACTCCCAACAACGGCCAATTTTACGTTCCATTCAGCATCCATTGTTCAGAAATTTAATTGTATTTTATTAATTAAATTAAGCAAAATTTATGATAAATTTTACCATGATACTATTCAAACAATGTAGATAGATCCAATATTAAAAGTTTTATTCGATAAAAATTGCAAAGGCTTACCAGTCATTAAAAATTAATGGTGTTTTTGACTTTTAAATCTTTTATAACGTATTTTTAGATTCTAAATTTGAAAGTTCTCAAATTTCGTATAATTATATAAGATTAAACGTTATAACGAACTTAATTTTCTACTTTTTCTACTGAATGAAACACGTAGGAAAATTCGAAACCGATCATCACCCACGCATTTGAATGATCTTTTAAATAATACTCAATGAAATTATATTTACATTTATTAGAAAAATTATTATAATTTACTTAAATAAATTAATTTGTGTTTAATTGTGTTTAATTATTTGTTCTAATTTATATATTTATTCGACATTTATATGAAAATTCGATAGAAATTTCTTAGTACTGTAACGAGATCTATAGAAACGGAAACCATCTTTAATTATTACAATATTCATTACATATTGTTCTAGCTCTATAATATTCTATATAATAATCAAACAATAACACTGATTTAATTAGAGTTTGGGTATCTGTATGGTTTCATCACTAAATACTTAATGAAATTTTTGATACTATTATTAAATTATAATATTTTTGCTTAATTTTCGCACAGTAAATTAAAATTTTTCTGTATTAAATATGCAATTATAACCTAAATTTTATAGGCATTATTAAGTAATATAATTTAAATTTAATATTAATTGCTACATAAAAATTTTCGGTAATGTCCAACAAGATAATTTGCATATTCTATTATTAATAATAAAACATTTCAATATTTCGGGTTCTTTATTTAAAATAAAAATAAATTACAATTTTACATTTGCAATTAATAATTAGATAAATTACATAATCTATTGGAAAAAAATTTCGAGAATGTTTATTTAATTTCATTTTAATTATCAGAAAATTTTCCACTTCATTACATTAGCCTATATATGCTCTTTTTTATCTCTCATAATACCATTCCTTCATACTATAGTTTTGACATTACATTTGTTATTATTATGCTGATATTATACTCAGAATATACTAAAATTAATTAAAATAATTATTAATATGTAAATATTTTAACAATTCCGTAATGTCTAAGTAAGTAGATTATTTAGCAGAGTTCTTTTACAAAGTATCAGCTATTTTTTCAGAAAAAACAGAAGCTTAATGAAAATAATTAATGGTGGGTGCCTTCAATAAGATAACCTAAATTCTGTTTAGTAGGAGTTATACGATTTTAAGAATGAGTCAATTAACTCTCGACAAAATTTTTATTAAAATTAAAGACTTCTAAACTCTTCTTCTCTCTTTCTCTCTGCTCTTTATGTTCTTCTCTTCTCGCTTATTTTCTCTATCTCTTCTTCTCTCCTCTTTTCTCACTCCTCTTCTCTCTTTCTTCTCTTCATTATCTTTGTTCTCTTCTCTTTCTACTCTTCTCGCTTCTCTATCTCCTCTCCCTCTCTTTTCTTCCCTTTTCTTCTCTTCTCTTATATGTAAAATTCTGTTATTTAATATACAATATATTATTAAATTTTACCATTTATTCTTAACGTTCTAAGTTAAAATTTCATGAAAAGAATATAATGAAAATTATTCCGATTTGGATAGCGCAGAACAGGTGTTTCTTTGTTAAAATATTTGTCAAAAGTAATTTATATATTTTTTTAATTCCCGTATATTCATGGAAAATATGTAATTTAAAAGTATAATAGAATAACCAGGACCGATATTAAAACGGCCAGAATTAAAACGTGCAAGCCTACATTCATCCGTTTTATCACTAGCCTTATAGATGAAGAATAAACTTTTAGATCTATTTAAATATGTATCATCGCGTTTATCAGATTAAAATATTTTTCTCATACTTGTTTGATTTCTGAAATTTACTTATTTACAAAGATTAAAGGACGTGGGCCTTCTGGGCCTCTCATCCCTTGATTTTCATGAATATTAGAAGTTTTTTAAATAAAATATTCGTCGAAAGTTCATAAATTTTGAACTTTAATAATGCAATAAATATTTTTAAAAATATATAAATTTTGTATTAAAAATAAAAAGATTATATTATCACCTTAAAAAGTTTGAATCTCAGATATATTTTTGAAAGAATAATAATTATCTATAGGCCTATAAGTTTATAACCTACAAAAAATAAATAAAATGAAGAACACCAGGACAAGTGTATAGTGTACCGGTTATACTGTATGATGCATCATTTTGGGTTTTCAATATGCAATTCTGTCCAACGGAAATTGATTGCATAATTTTCATATGATCGAATCACTTTCAACTATTATAGCCATAAGACCAGCTTCTTATATTCCAACTTCTTAGTTCTGTAACTAATATAATATAAGACCAGCTTCTTAGTTCTGTAACTAACCAGTATGTTGTGAGGATGAAACTCCTTTTCTTTAATACTTGATATGCAGATGATAGCAGGAACACGACACATTACCGGTGTTTTATTGTTAGTTTTAATTTGATTTAAACAAACTTAAACATTAAATCCATTAGTACTGTATCTCTAGTATTAAATAGAACACGTTCAATCCTCACAACATACCTAGTTTTAAGTTACTGAATTATGCCGCTGGGCTAAATTAGTTAAAAGTGTTTCAATCACGCATATGAATGTTTTTCAATTAATTTTCGTTGGATAGTATTGCTTATTGCAGACCCAAAATGATGCCTCATACAGTATAACTAGTATACTACATACTTGTCCATACTTTGTCTATTAAGCTTCTCCCATGGCAAGTTATT